AAAGAGGTTATAATGCTATTGTATAGGTTATTTGTTAGGCCACATATGAGATACTATGTTCGGTCTTCATCTTCCATGCCTTAGAAAGAGCACTGAATTGTGGGAAAAGGTTCAGAGGAGGGCCACTAGGGTGATACCTGGGATGGAAAGGTTGTTACACAAGGATAACTTAAAATCTCTGAACATATTTTCTTTTAAAAAAAAGAAGAGTTAGAGGGGATCTAATTAAGGTGTTTAAGATTGTTAAGAAAACTGATCGGACTGATGTATCTTTTTTTTTTTATATTTAATGGTGAGTAATCTTCAGATAAGACAGCTTTATTCTTCTAACAGGGTGGTTAGCCTTTGGAATGAGTTGCATTCAGATGTGGTAGATGCAGTTAATTTAAGGGAGCTTAAGAGAAAGTTTGATAAATATTTGAATGATAAGAATTGGTTTTGATATTTTTTAGCATCTAATTTAATTTAGTGGATAGAATGGCCTAAATGGATCAAAATGTCCCTTGTTGTCCTTTAAAGTTATGCTATGTTTGGTGATAGGGTTCAATCCCATGAACCAAAGATTGCAAGTTGAGCACTCTAACCACCGGGTCATGCCAAGCCAGTAAAAGGAGTTCCAATACTCAACTTTTTTCATGACTAACTTAATTTTAAACATTAGGTGATAGTACAATTTCCTTTTAGGTTCACCTTGGTGGATAGGGGAAAAAACACAAACAGATGTTTGTATGAGACAGTTGAAGTAGAACAAATCATAAAAAACTTCATATTCCAGCACACACTGGAACAGTTATACAAAATGCTCTTTAATAGTATACATACAGACAGTTCTTCACAATCTACAATAATCATATGCATACCCTATCACCTCATCTCTGGCCATTCCCTCAGTCTGTGACTACATAGGTTAAAAGCTCTGATACTCTTGATGCAATTCAGTTAAAGTGTGGTGATTTGCAAGCATAGATAGAATCTAAAATTGACCCCTTCTGGGGAGTGTTACATTATAGTACATAGATGGAATCTAACATTGACCCCTTCTGGGGAGTGTTACATTATAGGACATAGATAGAATCTAACATTGACCCCTTCTGGGGAAGTGTTACATTATAGGACATAGATGGAATCTAACATTGACCCCTTCTGGGGAGTGTT